AAAAAACCCTGATAAATATTCATATTATTTGATGACGTCGCTCTTCCATGATTTATCTAACGAGTTTTACGTCCACTATTACGGGCATTCGTCCTATCAGATGACCCTCATCAGTCAATGTTACAGCTCATATATACGGAAATGTCTTCTCATTTGACATAACTGCATATAATCATCTCACTAGATGGAAAAAAATCGTTTGCTTCTACAGTCCAATGCACACCCAATCTCCTTTCATGGATAGTCATGATTACATAACCATGAAAGCTAGCGTGAGTTGTTGACTGTGGTACAAACATAAAGACATTTAATCTATAAAAATAGGGAAGAAAAGTCAGTATGTTACATAGTTATTTTGAATCAATACAAATGTAAAAGTGATTAATTCTAATGATACATTTACAGCAATGTCAATATAATATATTATAATGACAACTCATAAGATGGCGGACCGTGAACTTTATTCCCAAATCGAGGCTCACACACGAACCCATGACGTAACACACACACGTGAATCAAGTGGACAACATGCGTGCGATATCATTACAAATATAATTTCTTTATTTAAGAATCAACCTTTTTTTACACACATATATCAGAGTAATTAATATGTCTTTATCATGGGAAACTGCGAGAGTATAATATTCCCTCAGTATCTCTTGGGAAAGGTTTCTATGAAATACCTTGTCCAACATATGGCAATTTTAACATACAAATTTATATACAAACACTTCTTCTATATTGAAATAGTTTTAGTATACAGCGCCTTTGCAATGACTTCTAAAACTATAGTCCCCTTTGTATTCGATACTTAACTCAATTGTTGAAAGGACACCTTCTCGGACACTGGAGCTTGAGTTATAGTGTCAAATTGTTTTCCCTCTACTGTATAATTGATCTAGACCTGGGCGAGTGAATATTTCTCTGTTGTGTTATTTTTGTAGCAGCCTGTCATTATCCTATGAAGGTAATTTATGGATGTTTGACTCAACTAAATATAGTATGAATATTTTAGATATTTCAGAGCAAAACCTCCAGAGACGATCAGGAAATATTTTTCTTTAAATTCAGCGCTAAAACAAAATATAACACATAGGGAGGTTATATTCTGAACTTATGAAAAAGAAGATAACCAATATATTTTCAGTGAAATTATTCAGGAAATAATTGGCATTAACTTTGGGTATTACAACTGTTTCAATACAGGAGAGGTTTTCACTCCCTATTAACTCTAGCTTGTCCACAGAATGGTAAACTTAAACGTGGCATCTGGAAAATCTGGAATTTACATACTTACATGTGTCTAGTTAAAGCTGGGGGAAATATTTCCCTATTTTGTGATAAGGAAATATTAAAATTATGTTACCAGCTACGTGAAATATGCTCTAAAATAAGATTTATTGGCAGGAACAGAAAATTTGATATTGAAGCCTCGCTGACATACATCTAAAGAGTCACACTATTTACAGTAGATACAAAAGCTTAGTATTCAAAAAGAACGTCACTCGATTAAAGTTTTATGAGAGACTTAAATATGTTGGCCATAATAAGTGTACAGTCTGCCAAATGTAGTATTAATAGATCTCATGCATAAAAACGGTCATGAGACGTATATATGTAGTAAAACTGTAAATGGTATGGCATAAGCCAGTAGCGAAAATGTGTACGGCATCATTAAGTCATGTGATCATGATTACCTGTGATCATGTGACTATGATTACCTGTGATAGGAGATTAGATGTCAGTAGACTGCGGTAGTAAGTGAATTTTTGTCCATGCTGTGAAGTATATGTTAAAGATTGTACAAAAGACACATATGTGAATAACACCTTTTCACAATTTAGAGTTGGATAGAGTAGAGCCAACCAATGAATTAAACTGCATCATGCAACTGTTTCGTCCTTCTAGGACTCGTCAGTGATGCCAAGGGCCTTAATTTTAATGCCAAGGAGGCGATTGAGGAGAAAATCCAAAGTGATCGAAAGAAATATAAAAATGTAGATGGGGAGGTGCAGCAGCCCCATAATTAAAAGAATTCGGAATTTTCATAATAGAGGTGAGAAGTATGCGGTAATTCATTTATTAATGTTATAAGATTTTTCATCACTCGGGATTTAAAACACACTCCCTATCGTTTGGGTGTGATAAATCCCCTGTTACTCAAAACTCGTGTAATAATCTATACATTTTGACACGTTCCGTTTGTACGGGGAGAGAATTATGCGGTAATTCAGTTATTGCATGATTCCATGTCACAGTAGATTTATTATTCTCTCGGTTATAGATCCTGAGTAAACCATAGAGCACATAAACCATTGAATAACCAATACTTACCATAGCCTCGGTCAATAACGGTTGATCTGATTTATAAAAACAATGTTCACCCCAACACGGTCCAGGAATGATGACCAAAATACCTGTAAGCAAACCCCAGTGTTCGGTATTGATTATCAATATCAAATCTAATCCTGCTGTGGTCTAGAATATTCAATTAACTATTACTCAATGTAATCCTTGTTGCTAATCTCCTCTGTGGTAAACCGATTTTCTAATTCTGTTGCATGACTGATCTCCCGCCGATATAGAACTAAGTGAAATCATTGTTTTATACTTAGTGGAACTCGCCTAAAGTTTAATTTATAAGTACTGTTTATATAAATACTTTTACAATTAATAGTAGATTATATCTGACAAGAGAACATCTTGGAGGCTCAAGGGTTAATGTGTTGTGAATGCTAAAATTAATTATATTCAGGATGTGTTCTGTCGGATATATGCTCCTTAAAATAGATTTTTTGCGTTGTGCGTTACAGAGACTCTCTGCTAAGTCGATTATTTAAGGAATCTTTCTTTTGTTCAGGTTTTGCCCTAGAATTATTGAATTTGAGTTTGTATGATGATTATGTTCATATATTGATGTTTTCTTAATATTTAAGCATTGTTCGTGTAACAAGAAAATCTGTTCAGATAGTGAATCTCGGTTGTATTTAACGTGAACTGTCTTCTCAGATAGGGGATACGAGATGTTCTCTTATATTTTGTTTGTAAAATTGTAAACTTTTGTTTGTTGAAGATATACTAATAGTTTGTGTGTCTGTGGTTTATACTTGTAATACCTACGCTTTTTAGCTCACCTGACCAAGTGAGCTCTAGGGGTACCGTCGTCCCTCAACTTTTACTATATATTACAACTATTCATGAACGATTGAACGGATTTAAATCAAATTTGGCCTAAAGAAACCTTAGGAAAAGAGGACCAATTTTTTGTGGAAATGGTGGGTCTTTCCCTCTGGGGCAAAGCGGCTGGGCACATTAGGGAAAATCTATCAATTTCCTTAAAATTTATCTTGTTCTTCAGGAATTGCAGGATATTGTCCAAATTTGGTTTGAAGAATGCTTGGATGAAGGACAAACATTTTTGAATAAAGCATGGGTCTCGGCCAGGTATGGCTAAAGGGGTGGGGTCCAATAGGGAGAATCTATCAGTGTCTTTAAATCTAAAATCTAACATGTTCTTCAGAAATTGCAGGGTATTGTCCAATTTTGGTCCGAAGCATGCTTAGGTGAAGGAAAAACAGTTTAGTAAAAATGGTGGGTCTCGGCTCCCTGGGGTCAGGTGGACGTGACCCAATAAAGAAAATGTATCAATTTCTTTAAAATTTATCTTGTTCTTGAGGAATTGCAGGATATTGCCCTTATTTGGTCTGAAGCATGCTTGGATTAATGATAATGTGTTTTGTATAAATGATGGGTCTCTTCCTGGGGCTACAGGGGTGGGCCCACTAGGAAAAACCTATCACTTTAAAAAAAATCTATATTGTTATTGAGGAATTGCATAATTGCCTTTGGGCCTCTTGTTTACTTAGGCTATGTGTTACTGTGTCCGCGTTTTATATTTTCATATTTTATATTTTTCATTAGCTATGTGCTTCTGTGTCTGTTTTATATTTGTAATGCCTATGTTTTTTTCGTTAGGTATGTGTTTCTGTGTCTGTGTTATATATTTGAAACGCTTATGATTTTGTTATTAGCTAAGTGGTCCTGTGTCTGTTTTGTATTTGTTTTGCCTATGATTTTGTTCAGGCTAAGTGGTCCTGTGTCTGTTTTATATTTGTTAGCCTATGCTTTTGTTCAGGATAAGTGGTCTGGTGTCTGTTTTCTATTTGTTTTGCCTATGATTTTGTTCAGCCTAAGTGGTGCTGTGTCTGTTTTATATATTTTTGCCTATGATTTTGTTCAGGCTAAGTGGTCCTGTGTCTGTTTTATATTTTTGCCTATGATTTTGTTCAGGCTAAGTAGTCCTGTGTCTGTTTTATATTTTTGCCTATGATTTTGTTCAGGCTAAGTGGTCCTGTGTCTGTTTTATATTTGTTTTGCCTATGATTTTGTTCAGGCTAAGTGGTCCTGTGTCTGTTTTAAGTGGTTTTGCCTATGATTTTGTTCAGGCTGTGTCTGTTTTATATTTGTTTTGCCTATGATGTTGTTCAGGCTAAGTGGTCCTGTGTCTGTTTTATATTTTTGCCTATGATTTTGATCAGGCTAAGTAGTCCTGTGTCTGTTTTTATATTTGTTTTGCCTATGATTTTGTTCAGGCTAAGTGGTCCTGTGTCTGTTTTATATTTGTTTTGCCTATTATTTTGTTCAGGCTAAGTGGTCCTGTGTCTGTTTTATAATTTGTTAGCCTATTATTTTTTCTGTTAGCTAGTTGTTTCTGTGTTGTATGTTTTTAATGCTTATGTCGGTAGGATATGTATTTCTGTGAGTTATATTTGGTATGACTATCGTTTTTCTTTAGGCTTTGTGATGAAGTAACAGTTACCAAGAAGAGGTAGTCGTGTGTAATTTGAGAAGATGACGAGGGGCAGAGAGCCGCATACAGAAAATCTAACAGCAATATTGACATAAAACATCATAAACCATTTGATAAGTAGAATGTTTCTCGACAAATGATCTTACTGGCTGTGACCAGAAGACATCAGGATTGGAAGACATCACAAGCAATGCCGCCCCAGACTAGTCTTCAGTTCTTCAGGAAGCGTCAGACCGTGGACACTCTATTACTGGAGCGTCCGCAAAGCCTGTCCGCGTTTTACCAAGCCGTCGAGGTGGCCCTGAAGGATATTGAAATTCAGCTGATAGAGGCTCAGGCGTCTTTTTATGGCCGGACACGTACCCTGGAGGATGAAATCCAGCAATGGCTGCCTGCTCTTGAACATACTATGCAGTTCGCCAAGGTTGCGGACCTCATTTGTAAGGATAATCTACAAAATGTGTTTGACCTGTACGAAAGGTCGATGGGAGACCCCACTATGGAAGTAAAGTTTGACAAACCTTCCGTACAAGCAGCTATGCAAGTCATTGATAAAGTGCTTTCTCAACTTAAGACAGGGTTTGCGTCCATCATGGAAACGCTTAAGACTATTTTGTGTTTTATGAAGAAGTACTGTTTGAGTTTTGTTGGAACTGATGGAGATTCATTTCTAGAAACAGCAACTAACTACGAAAAACAAAGACGAGATTATGCAAACGCGATTCAAATTAATGTAGATGATATCTCACAGATGGCCGTACGTTTTGAAAAAGACGGTATCCATCTTCAAGAATTAGGCTCGATTCCAAACCAACTTGCAGATAAATACGAATGTAAACACATACCATTACTTGTTATGTTCCCAGGAGCATGTGAAAATATCAGAAACGCTTGTATTGGAATCCGAAAGTGGCTACAAGCCGACCATGGGTACCCGACATTTCTGCAATATGATTTACAGGACCTGGAAAAAAGACGGGATGACTACTGCAAAACCATCCGAGATATACAGTTAAGCGCCTCTCATCTAGACCACAGAGTCAAGGTCTGTAAAAGGGACATCAATGACAGCGACGCAGAGCTCAAACGGTTACTGCCGAAAGAAAAAATGGTTAAACGCCAAGCAGACAGTCTTGGTAATGAGCTCAAAGACTTGGATATGGAAATAGGCTACCGCGAAATCCGCCGTGAACAATTAAAACATGACGAACAAGGAAGCAATAATAAACAAAAGCTCGATCAGAATTTGTCTGAACTGGAAAATTTCAGAGGTAAACGTTTAATCATAGATAGAAGGTACGAAGAGATGAAACGAAAGCTTCAGTTTCTCCAACTGAAAAGGGAAAAAAAGGCACAAAAAGAACAAGACCTTGTGGATTTACGGAAGGAACACAAAGCTGTTAGAAAGGAATTAAGGAAGACAGAATTGGAGAAAGACAGACTACAAATAAACGTGATGAAGATGAGAGAGATTATCCGTTTTAAGACAAGTCCAGAAGTTTTGAAGAAATTGTTTTACAACATGCCCTTAACAAATAAAAACACTGGACTTACGAAACGGAAAAAAGGAGCAGGTAACGTTATAGGTGAGTCGAACACTATCACAAGAGGCACCCAAACCCTGAACAGGTAGGTAGGTCTTTACCAACAACAACACAATAGGCACTAAAACCCTAAACAGGTAAGACTATAGGTAGGTCTCGACCAACAATAACACAATAGGCACCCAAACCCTGAACAGGTAAGAATATAGGTAGGTCTCGACCAACAGCAACACAATAGGCACCCAGACATTGAACAGGTAAGATTATAGGTAGGTCTCGACCAACAACAACACAAAAGGCATCCAAACCCTGAACAGGTAACGATATAGTTTAGTATCGGCTTACGATAACATATTAGAGACCCAAACCCTAAACAGGTAATGTTACAGGTACGTCTCACTCTAGAACACAATAGACTCCCAAACCCTAACAAGTCAGGTTATAATAAAGTATCGCCCCACAACAACACAAAAGACCCCCAAACTCTGAACAGGTAACGCTATAGGTCGTCTCACCCCACAACAAAACAATAGACACTCAGACACTGAACATGTAATGCTATAGGTAAGTCTCTCTCTACAACAAAACGATAGACCCCGAACCTTGAACAGGTAACGTTTATGGTACATGTTATTTTGACTTTATCATTGAAAAACGGGTTGGATTTTATCGCCTCGTGAACAGGCGACCTGGTGTCCTTGTTGTTGTTGGTGGCTATCTGAATGAACAACATACAGGAGGTTCGTCACATGGCATCCAAATCAATTAGTCTTGTCCAAGGAGTAGCTATCGTTACTGGATTTGCATTAACACAAAAATTATCATGTTATTAACCTCTCTGTGTCTAAGAATTTCGTGTTCGTGGTTGGCTGTATTCGTTTAGTAAAAACCTTGTTAAAATGATTGTAAGATCTTAGTAGACATAGATACATGCAGTAAAACAGACTAAAATATGACCAGAGATTATGTTTAAAACAGCTCTTTGATAGCAAGCTACTAGAAACACCTTATCTAATCATAAGAGCTTATATCAGATTGTTGGCCAACATAGTCGCTTTGAAACCCTATCATATACCGATTTCATCCAAAATCTACTTTGTATGGTTGCCTGGTTACCCAATCAGTTACTGACGTCATTCATTTGCTACATTGTATGATTGCCTGACTAACCCATCAGATACTGATGTCATTCAAATATCAACTTGTACTGTTGCCTAGTTACCACAAATATCTCTCACTTTATCTGAACCTTGTCAAACTGCCTCATGGTTTTAAAAAAAGTTCACTTTTGTTTTTAATCATATTTTTCTATTACCAAAAGCAAAATGAATAACTTTCCAATGCTTCCCCGAAAATATCATTACTTTCAGCCTCAAGCACTTACACGTGTATATTGCAGTGTCATTGAACATGAACACTATAAATATTATGTTTAATCATATTTATATTGATTCAATCTGAAGTCTTTTGTATCATCCTTCACAAATGATTGATTCAGAAATCAATTAAAGCAAAACTGAGATTCTTAACTAATATATGCTGCAAAAGATGGATATTCATGTAAATTGTTTTGTTACAGACAAGCTAGAGAGGGCGTCTCGAGTCACAGCCATCCACATCGACACCGATTGGCCAAAGTTGTATCGTGTACTTCCGTTTTATCCGCCGCGTGGAGACGAGAACGTGCGCATGGATATAGATGAGATAGGTCGCGTGTTCATGCGAGATGTCCAGGAAAACCAGGCCAAACAGGCTCTTGCCAGATGGCGGCGGATGCATAATAGGGCAAGTGTGGACGACCTAAAGGCTGCCCTCCAACAGATCAGACGAAAGGACATTGTTGATGAAATAGATACAGAACTTGCCAAACGTGCAAATAAAGTTAAACAGGAAAATTTACAGAAGGCGGAGTCTCCTACTAGAACTGTTCGCTTCCCGAGGGTATTAGTACAACCTCCACAGACTCCGCGATCCCGGAACAGTGGCATGTTGTTTGTACGCTAGATAAAGATATCCCAGCCTTCCAGATATAGCATACAATCCTCAGACGTCGTCATTTTGAAGCAGTTGTGCTAGCGATCTCAAACTTCAATAACTCAAAACGGTGGTATGCTGTAGGTAAACTGATATTATTCTTGTGACCAAAGACTCTTCATAATGCATAATGACATATTCTGATATGAAGTGGAATTCAGAATTTATTTTGGTTGAGATAAATAGTTTTCAAAAATGCTTCCCTCAGGTGATAATAAAAGTGCACCAGAACAGTGTGGTCACAAACGTTATGTAACACTACCCAAACGGTAAGTTTAATGGTTTAATATGTCCATATAGTATAGCTATATTCTGCTGAATATCTCGGAAAGGTGTAAATACATGCAAAAACGGACTTTCAAATAAAGATTGCATGGTGTCCACACTGATGATGTGGATTAATACTCAGTAAAATTAGGTTGTTTTTGCTAGAAGTCCTTACAGGAAAAAGTTCAGTATGGATGAGTCACCATTTTCGTAGTAGTTAATATGGTAAATTCTCCTTTCCGTCAGTTGACCAGTGGTTTGACATTAATACTTAGCAGGTCGGAACTATTGTTTCCACAAACAGGATCCTGAACTTTTCGCCGCATAAATCCAATGTTGTCATAAAGTGTACATATGTTGAAGGTTTTCGACCAGTTTGTCATTTTTCCTGAGATACAAAAATATCGTCAGGTTTAGTGGACTTCGGCTACAAGTTATATGATATATATAGTGGACACTTAATGGTTCCCATTTAATAGCCTATATTTAACAAGTATGACAGAATATCTATATTTTTCAAGAGTGCGAAGTACGAGTGAAAAATACAGATATTCTGTCATTTTAGTGAAAACAGGATACCATAACATTTTCTTTTTATTACATTATAAAACGGTGCTCGATGAACGTTTGGAAAATATTAGCACTCTCTTTGACGTCAGATAGTTCGATAAAGCACAAGACAATAACGGTCAACGTTACCAAAGTTCCACCGGTCATGTAAATCTTGGTCCATCCATGTAGGAAATGTCACCGCCCAATAACTTTCATCTTTTGAAACCCATTGTTACGTGATAATGGGAAAATGCTTTTGAATATCGAATTAACTGCGAAAAATTAACACCAAATGGATGGAGATGCAGGGATGTTGCTGTCCAGAAATAAGAATGCTGTACTTTTTCAATTTTATGACAAGTGATGGATTTTTTTCCCAATTTTATGACAAGTGATAGGCTTTTAAAAAAAATATGACAAGTGATGGACTTTTTAAAAATTTTATGACAAATGATGGATTTTTTTTCCAATTTTATGACGAGTAATGTGCTTTTCAAAATTTTATGCCATGGAATCTGAGAAAAAAGACATGTTCGCCACACACAACTTCCTTAACAATATGTGTACCCGTATGTTTCGGCCACGGTTAAACCCAATTTGTGTTTATCGTTTAATTAGGTGCAGTGTAAAATTTATATGCAGCCATGTTAAAATGAAGTTAAAATGATCGTGACCTGAATATTCTTCTCTTGAAATATTTGTTTTTCTAATATATAATGACAGATCTTCGATCTGACAAATTTTCTTTCAGATATGCTTAACCTAATACACCTGTGATCTGAAGTTCCGTGCTACACAATGTACAGCTGATATCAGACCTTCCTGCAGGTAAAAAAGACAATTCAAATGAATATCACTATTAAATATTCCGACACAGACGAGCGTACACCTAGAGTTTTCGTTGTTTCCCGCAACTGACCTGTCAATTTTCTTGCGCTTTTTAAAAACTCTGCAAAAAACTATTGTTTCCCTTCGATCTACAATCCACCATTTGTTTTTAAACAAAACACCAAGAATCAAAGTCAGGAATTCGCATACAATGTTTATAACACGAACAAAGCAGTCAAAGCGTTGAGGAAGAGCAACAGCGACACAATCACCACATCGTTATCAACGCCTCCATCATCATCTGTCAAAATATAAAACACAGGTAATATAGGGTGATATGTTTACATATCATATCAACATATAGCTACTGATAGTGTATTCAATGATACCACAAAGACGATGTTTTAATGGTTTTGATATCAATTACATTTCACGAGTATAACATGATATCTATACTTTTCCCGAATGCGAAGCACGAGAAAAAATATTGATTTGGTCTATCATACATGTGATATTTAGGCATTTAACCATATTTTTTTTAAAGAAAACAATGAAGTGAAGGAAATGTAAACTCCTATTTAAGAGCGTAGCAAACGGTTTTTCTTGATTACAGTATACTTTAAAAAACGTGTTTCATACATGGATAACACTGATTTACTGCAGTAAAAATTATTAACGAAATAAATAGAAATTAAAGCACTTATCCAAAATACACATACTGATCGTATGCCGTTTAATATAATTTTTTTTCTCTAATTAAACTGACTCTATTCTCATTAGTGATGTCTCGAATCAACCATATGACATACAACGTACTACAATGGTCTATATAAACTGCAAGAAGAAAAAAAAGTAAAACGGGATAAGGGGGTAACTTAACTTGAACCATTTTTGATAAATCTGAAAATTACAAATAGAACATACGTTATAGAATAATCGTGGCTTCATTGAAAATTCATGGTTGTCAGTTGATAAGATTTTATCTACCAACAGTTGCATGAGACCTGCGTTGATTGAGAGCATAAATTTATGTAACCTTTTCTGATGAACTGAATATCGTTATTGCAAAGTAAGCATTATTATTATTATCTATTTTACCATAGAATAGGGGAAAATCTTTTAAAAAACCAGTGGTCCATATTTTCATAATATACCAAAATTTTCATGTTTATTTGTTTATCTACCCATTTGATTAACAAATACTTAACAATAAAATGACAACTATATATTTTCCAAATTTTTGTACAATATGCATTTTTCAAAGCACATGCCACTGGTTTATTAATAAAGAGGAATAATCGGATAAAACAATAAAACATACAAAAAAAAAAAAAAAAAACAAAACAAAAAAACAAAAAAAAAAAAAAAAAAAAAAAATACAAAAATATCTACAATGCAGAGCTGAATCAGAATAAAAGTACTAATGTTTTATCAATATTTGATTGGTAATCGAGGAAAATGTCCATCATATAGGGAGATTTTATGATATCAAATCGTCTTTAAATTAATATATTCATTATTTGTTAAAATGATGTAAAATCTGCATTAGATTTAGTGTCTTTTTGTTGCTCTTCGAGAAGTTATGCTGTTATTATTATCGTCGACATCGGAAACCATTGTCGGAAACTAGAAATCTTTCATTATACAAATATTCGAAGTTAAGGGACTTGTTCAGTTTGTCATTGGTCGAAATATTGAAATGAACACTCGGTTAGAGTATGTTATCGTATGCGGAACAAAACCGCGCTACTGCATGCCGTTTCGGCCGAATAAACGAAAGTACCGCGAAGTGTTTTGAAGCGAATATGACTTAAATGAATATGTTATAATTTTCAAATATTTGTCACAAGTATATTGATTATAAATCATAGGTGTTTTGATTTGGGATTGTTAATTTCTATTTAATCGCGTTAAAAATCCAACACAGAGAGCTTTAAGCATTAACAATTACTCCTCCTATAAGGTTTCAGGCTCGATGACTTTCTTGGCTCATTAGTTGCATTCATGGTCAAGTTTCATGTAAAGGTATCTTAATTCATTAGTATATGAGAACTAACTTGTTGGTGGTGTGGTAGTTGGTGTGGTAGTTGGTGTGGTAGTTGGTGTGGTAGTTGCCATTGTAGTTGGTGTGGTAGTTGGTGTCGTAGTTGTCGTTGTAGTTGGTGTGGTAGTTGTCATCGTAGTTGGTGTCGTAGTTGTCATCGTAGTTGGTATCGTAGTTGTCGTTGTAGTTGGTGTCGTAGTTGTCATGGTAGTTGGTTTGGTAGTTGTCATCGTAGTTGGTATCGTAGTTATTATTGTAGTTGGTGCTGAAATTATAAAGACTAGAATTATTACTACAAATAATGACATCAAACCATAACAAAGATTGGCAACAGTTGTTGTTGGTGTAGTAGTAGTAGAAGTTGTTAGTGTAGTAGTGATGGTAGTTGTTGCTGTAGTAGTGATGGTAGTTGTTGATGTAGTAGTGGTAGTAGTTGTTGGTGGGGTAGTGGTAGTAGTTGTTGATGTATTAGTGGTGGTAGTTGTTGGTGTTGTAGTGGTAGTTATTGATGTATCAGTGACAGAAGTTGTTGATGTAGTAGTGGTAATAGTTGTTGATGCAGTAGTGGTGATAGTTGTTGGTGTGGTAGTGGTAGTAGTTGTTGATGTAGTAGTGGTGGTAGTTGGTTGGTGCAGTAGTGGTGGTAGTTGTTGGTGTAGTAGTGGTGGTAGTTGATGTAGTGGTGGCAGTTGTTGGTGTAGTAGTGGTGGTAGTTGGTTGGTGCAGTAGTGGTGGTAGTTATTGGTGTAGAAGTGGTGGTAGTTGATGTAGTGGTCGCAGTTGTTAGTGTAGTAGTGGTGGTAGTTGGTTGGTGCAATAGTGGTGGTAGTTGGTTGGTGCAGTAGTGGTAGTAGTTGTTGATGTAATAGTGGTGGTAGTTGTTGATATAGTAGTGGTGGTAGTTGGTTGGTGCAGTAGTGGTGGTAGTTGGTTGGTGCAGTAGTGGTAGTAGTTGTTGATGTAGTAGTGGTGGTAGTTGATGTAGTAGTGGTAGTAGTTGTTGGTGTGGTAGTGGTAGTAGTTGTTGATGTAGTAGTGGTGGTAGTTGTTGGTGTTGTAGTGGTAGTTATTGATGTATCAGTGACAGAAGTTTTTGATGTAGTAGTGGTAGTAGTTGTTGATGCAGTAGTGGTGGTAGTTGTTGGTGGAGCCATGGTGGTAGTTGTTGGTGGAGCCATGGTGGTAGTTGTTGATGTAGTAGTAATAATAGTTGTTGATGTAGTAGTGGTGGTTGTTGTTGGTGTAGTTGTGGTGGTAGTTTTTGGTGTGGAATTGGTTATAGTTTTTGATGTAGTGGTTGTAGTAGTTGTTGATGTAGTAGTGGTAGTAGTTGTTGGTGTAATAGTGGTGGTAGTTGTTTGTGTAGTAGTGGTAGTAGTTGTTGGTGTGGTAGTGGTGGTAGTTGGTTGATGTAGTAGTGGTAGTAGTTGTTGATGTAGTAGTGATGGTAGTTATTGGTGTAGTAGTGGTGGTAGGTGTTGGTGTAGTAGTGATGGTAGTTATTGGTGTAGTAGTGGTGGTAGGTGTTGGTGTGATAGTTCTAGTAGTTATTGATGTGATGAAAGTAACCATCTCGAAAAAAGTTCATTACTTTAATTATTTAATATTGCGAGTTTGCTGTTACTGTTATTTGTCGTTGTTGGTGTGTGTGTGGGTTTTTTTTTTGTTTATTTTCTATTTTTACTTACGGATATTTTCGAAACACATTAGAAATCCTGGCAGATTATCGCTGGTGTCAAAAAAGAAATCCACAACTACAGGACTTGGTAGATTCGTTTGGGTTTCACCTTGAAGTTGTCGCTCACATCTTTTAGGTCCTGTAGTACCTTGAGCTAAAACAAAATATGAAAGCCTTACCCGTTATGTAGCAATATTTATTGACAAGGTTAAAGTTGACAGACAGATAGACAGATCTTTCGATCTAGCGACATAAAACACAATCTGGAAACCGCAAAACACACGATATCTCCATTTGTTCTGTAACGTGTTGAACGTTGCAAAATTCAATAGATATAAATTTATATATGTAAAAGCAATAATCATATGGATATCAGTGTGACAAGTCGTAAGGTATGTTCAAAAACAATAATTTAAAAAAGAGAATAGCTTATGTTCAAAATTTAATACTTGTGTTTGAAAAAACTTTTATGTGTGTGTAGGAATGTTTTGTGTGTAGTGTTCTATAAATAGATTCAAGGGATACTTAGAACATTACTGAATATTGCAATTCTGTAAAATTATTTTCACACTCAATATAACGTCATTGATAATCGTTCTAGGCTAAAACACCGACGCATGTTCCAATTACATTAAAGAAGACTTTTCATGATGTGTTATCGACTGAAAGGGTTAAGAATTTTACACTATAGATAAAGAACGCTTTTCACAACATGTTACCGACTGATAGTGTTAGACTATTACACTTTATGGAAGGAAGGCATTCCATGAAGTGTTACCGACTGATATGTTTAAGGCCTTTACACTATAAATAATAATTTAAAAAATCCACGACATGATACCGATGAAAAAAGGGTTTAGAATTTATACACTATTGGTAAAGCATGACGTGTTACCGACTGATAGTGTTAAGACTTTTACACAATTTACACTATATATAAAAATTCCATGATGCGTTATTAATTGAACGGATTTAGCCTACTACACAGTAGATACTTAATATAATGTGTTACCGACTGATAGGGTTTAGCCTTATACACTATAGGTAAAGAAGTATTTCGTTTCATATTACCAGTTATCGTTAGAAAGTCCCCGCCGTTACAGCCGGTAGTTGCTTCTAAATGAAAGAAAATCATGTTGTAACGGATTTGTCCATTCGTCTGTATTGTCCATTTACAGTTTGTGTTCATCCTGTAATTTCAATGATACGTTAACAAAGACAAGGAGACATGGCATTACATACATACTTATTAAACATTAGACATTTCTAACAGTATAACAGATTCATTTGATAAGACTTTTGAACACGTTCCCTGGATGAAGCGATGTAACAAGCTCTCTTCACGTATCGTTATATCAAGTTTCTTCGATGAAACAGTAAAAAGTTTCCTTGTTAAGAACAAGATCCGTTGTTGAGAGCGTGTATCAAGTGCCTTTGATAAGATCGCATAATAAATTCCCTAGATGAGACCGTATAATAAGTTCAGTTGAATGGACATACAGCAAACTCCATTCATGTGAGAACGTATAGGATCATTTAATGAGAAAATTTAACAAGCTCTCTTCATGAAACTGTATATTAAGCTCCCGTAATGAGACCAAAATACAAGAAATACCAGTTCGTAAGACATATTACAAGTTCTCTTGAGAAAACGATAGAACAAGTTCCCTTGATGAGATAATAACACAAGTTCCCTTGATGAGACTATGACAACTTCCATGAATGAAATCGTACATCAAGCTAATTTGAGGACTTCATTAGACTGCACATGAACAAAGGTACTCTAATGTAATTTGAAATAACGGCAGTTGTCAAACCGATCCCAGATATCAGTCTCTAATTCTGCTCGGAACGTAGTTCGTAAGGACATTGTACGTAGAAGAATGCTACTCACTTCCTCGTTAAGTTTGTTTGCCAGTTGGCGGAGATTATTTGGGATGTTTGCCCGATTCCAAGCTGTTTTTCCTGTCTCGATTGTTCGACTGGGGACAAATTGGGGCTATAGGAAGGTCAATCAATATGGACGATATTCTGGACTGTAAGTAAAGTCCTTACAAACTCTAACAATGCGTTATCCTGCTGAAAGGTCAAATGATGCCTTATAATAAACAGCGAGCAAGATGTCTCAGGATCTGATATCGATAGTATAAATCCGTTAAATTTTCGTTAATAATCATTAACAGTGTCTTTAAACCAAGGGAAATTCTAACCCAAACCATTACCCATCCACCCCCAAAGCTGAATTATTCCAAAACACAAGCGTCTTCAATACGCTCTCCTCGACGCCGGTATACACGTTGACGGCCATCTGATCGAAATAACGTGAATCGAGCATGGACCTCTAATGTCTCGTAGGGAAACGTATGGGTACATGTACTTAAACACTATCGCTCAGAACGTGTTCAACATTGAGGTGTCAGTGGCAAACAAACGTATTGGAGTCGTGGGCGTACGTTTGTCCCTTAAGCCTATTTTCCACAGCTTTTTGGTGGATTCGACGGTTTCCAGTACCATTTCATGCTCTTTCTTGTCCCGCAACTGGGCAAGCCTAATGAACTGATCTTGACGTCGCGACTTTACACGCGGACGTCCGGATCTTCGTCTGTCAACAACTTTTCCTTTGGCGTTGACAAGTAAAACTAACCGACTTATAGTCAAGTTGGGATAGCCGTGGCATATTTGTAACAAAAATGATCGCAAATATATTGATAATTACACATCTTGGTGATAAAAATCGTCACTAGTTCGAATGGAAAAGAACTCATGCATTTGAAAAATTACGGTTTAATTGGTAATTTAGGTGCTACGGATGTGGATAGGTTCTGAGTCACGGATGATGGATTTATTTATTCATTAATATTTTACATTTAAAGAAATTGCGTTTTCTTATCCTTTCAGTATATTATGAATATCATTTACAAAGTCATCTTTACCATTGTCACGGTTCTTTGTGCTACCACACAACCACTGTAAATGGATAACAGACATATCTGACCATCAAAACATAGTTATATCGGAACAAGATGACGATGTCAGTGTGGAAAGGCAACTGACTCACAAAGGCTTATTAACCAGAGGTATTTTCAATTCGGCGAAGACAACTAAAATGTGTATGAGCGTGCACAATCCGGTGATGAACTCCAATTGTCATCATATGAAAGAATATTTCAGGGCGGAGTGACAATATGTCGACAGGTAGTTGAATTGCTTTTTAAATACTGCAATTGACAGGACTTAAGCAGCAAACCATTAATTAACAGAGAAAACCTGCGTTCGTTATATTCATTTATAAAACGGCTGCAAATGTGAATTTAGAATATATTTTTGTATCTTAAAATAACAAAATAAAAGAAATAAAATAAGATAAAACACACTCACAGAGGCGGTGCGTTTGGGAAAAGAGGCGAAGTGATGCATCTGTTAGTTACGGTGGCCAAGTCGATTGTCTCTCCAGCATCAGAATCACATGCAGTAGCTGGCGATTTAACATGTAACTGTTATCTCATCATTAATAATTCAATCAAATAATCCGAAAATTTAAGCTGTATTTGGCGAGAACTTTTTCCTCAGATGCCTCCTAGGCTTCAAGATCTAAGAATCACTGAAGAGTTCTAGGAAGACGAATCTGCTGTATGACGAAGATTAGTTAATTGTATTGCTGTACTGTCTTACTCTGAATTATTAAAATGCGCTATTCACTTGACAATTTGGATCTTTTGTATAACCTTTACTAAGACCAGGTGATTATGTTCATAAATGACTATAAGCAAACAACAAATGAAAACACAGCAAAAGAGTAATGCATTCTGACTTGTAGAAACAATCTGCCTTCCATTGCATTTATAATAAATCAAATAGTATCAACATAATCTAGTATTAATTTATAGTTCGTTTTCTATTGAAATTTGAGATTGCTATTTTGATTTATTTAAATGAAAATGAATCTCGTAATAAACTAAATGTCGACCCAAAGCACTTTTAAAAAACATGTATATATTGGCAGCCGGTACAATAGCTAACAGAATTTAAACTTAAGTAAATTAATATGTAATGACCAAAAATGGCTTCATCCTAGTAAATATAAGAAAACACATGATTAATTTATATGTTATATATTATATATTAGTAATGTATTTTATATATTTATATCAAATGTGAAAAACTTTTTTTTTAGTTTTTAGAATAATACATTATAATTATCATTATCTTTTATCAGTTGATCTGTGTTTGCCTGTATGTGATTTTTTACATAATTTCAAAAATATTTACATTGGCTTTTAATATTTCTGAATTAGTTTGATTGGTTTGGAGTTGTCCAGTCATGCTTTTTTCCAATATTTTCAGACTGACCGACCGACGGACCTTCTCTGGTATACTTGGTTATGGGGGTTATGATGAGATAGTATATCTAAAAGATACTTAACGGTGTGTTGGTAGGGATGGACACTTCTGTTTTGATAAAGCACAAATTCATGCGCAGACCGTGCATACATCGTACGTACACACGCACGATACAGTATCGTGCGCACAATTGTGCGTTAGGATAGCACATTTAGTGCGTTTTGGTAAAAATGGTTGGTTATTGTTACAAATTGAAAATAATTAAACAGAAAATTCGTGATATTATTACTGAATAGCGATCATATGAACATTAAAATTGATCGGTTTATTATAGAAGTCCTTTTTAATTCGACTGTGTTCAAAATAACACTGGATCTGCATTATTCACTATTATCGTATTTTTAGTTTCACATCTCAGAAAGTGGTGAGTAGTGTTGCCTTGGGCAACAAAAGTTTATCTGTATACGGGTATATACGTGACAGGTCCGGATCCGTGCCGGCTGGGTGTAACAAACACAACACTTAAGACTTACCAGAATATAATTTTTTGTTTACGAAATGAATAAAAAATGAGTGTCATGCTGAAGTAATTAAAATAAAATTTCTTATCTGATGGTATGAGATTTTAAATAATTCATTGCTGTGATATAAAGAGGGGTCCTTTTAATGTATATGTAATATGTTTCCGCACACTAAGGCTATCCACGTATGGCTGTTTGTAAGCAAAACGCTTAAAATTACGAGTGTATCTAACTATTCAGTGTGTATCTGATATATCTAAGAGTGCCCAACCTATAAATTAATGACTTAATCAGGAAATATATTTAGTTGTATTCTTATATGTATAGAAAATAAATACACCTTTTCCACATTTATTTATAATTCATTTATAAAATCATATCAACCACGATAGAATCGCAAATTTGTGCGATAGAACCGCACAACGTGCGCACAAATGTGCGATAGCTTATTTCGTCCAATTTTCCTATCGTGCGTACATCACGAACATCACATAGCATGTGCAATCCCACAACTGTACCATCTTAAGTGTATAAATTGTATATTTTAGTGGTTTTATAATCAACGTTGTTTTGAATTAACTGATAAATAGAATTTGGTAATTGTTTATCATTTTGATTGAAGCAAAATCTCTCGCAAATAAGAAATAATGCCTTCGGTAAATAAAATTGAATTTGACATTCACGTAGCAAGTAATTTTTATGCAAATAATGACATCGTTTTACCCGTGTCCGATGCAGTCCTCTGAACGACGGATAGGTATTTGAATTCCAGTACCTCTCTTCTAATTGAAGCTATTGCTCGTTTATCCGCACGAACTTCAGTTACTCTAGCAAAAGGTCTCAGAGAAAAGCTCGCCTTTACATCCGTAACAGACCGAAGAAGATTACCTGTGAATATAGACATTGCTCTACTGAGTATCATTCAACATTATATGCTGTATTCTAATTCGAGATGAAGTATAAAACTGGTGAACCGAAATAAGTATCTTACAGCTACATACCATCAGAAATCTCTCATTCGTATATTCAATATTCTATCTAAATGGTAATTGTCAATGACTTCATTGCCTCTACTGCCTTGCTTCGACATCTCTCGAAAATGACAATAATAGCGTGACTCTGAATGCTCACTGAAACTCTGCTCTGAATATTTTAGAGTTACGAATCCCGAGAAAATTTATACTGATCTCTGAAATAACGCAGAACAATAAGACAATATTTTCATCGGTTTTACTTTTATTGCACTTGTCATAACCCTCCTACTTGTCCTGTCTGTGTCGGTATATCTGTTGTAACACAGCAAACATCTGTTTTATTTGCTCCTTATTTGGAACTGTATTATTACGATACACTGCCACATGACTGAACATTTTGTGTTAGTATTTCATAATCTCTACAGTCTGTTATATTATTTTTTTTATTTTATTCATTTATCTTAATGCTCTACAGCAATGTTATTAATGTTATTTTGAAATAACATTAGAAATTGGATCAACTATTTGACACGACTCTCATACAAAAATATAACTATTGGATTTGCAATTAAATGTTCTCAATTAGTTTTCAACTCGTGATTTTTTTTTCATATCCATTTTTCGCAGCATTTTATACACATGAGTCTGTTAAAAAACCGAAAGATGTTTTAGTATGTATTATACAGTCGTTCCATTACTGTTTCAGATATATGTATTGAAATGAAACGTACTACTTACCATTGTCATCAAATATTCCTATTACAGTTGTACTTCCGACATCAACCTCACTTAGTTCTACCGCTGTTATTGTGTTAAGTGGTGAAGTTAGAGTCCATTTGCAGTCTGAGCTAAAAAACAAAACAAAACATTAATATGGTTTTGCTTATGTCTCGTAACATTGTTGTTGAGAATTTTTCAATTTTACACTCAAGAATTTCAAACTACAATTCAGATGTATTATCGATTCCTATGATTTTCAATAATTTAATTTGAATAGCATGAATGCCAAATATCAGAGTAACTCAGTAAAAAAGTTTTAATTGCAGCAGAGACGTTACAAAAGTCATCAAAGCTACCCATGCTAATGCAAAGTTATGCTAATTGAAGTAGGAAATCATTCTACACAATTGAGAAGCTTATCTACATTAGAGCAAGACAACTGACCTTTGGTGTACATAATCTATATCATGATTAGATATTAGATATTTATGCTTAAATTGTTTATCATTTGAGCATTATCTTTAAAAAGTTTCGCAGCACGGACACTTTCAAGCGCACATGCGATATCGATTTATAGTGGAAGCAGGATGGCGTCAATGGATTGACGGTTGTCTTAGATATTGGCATTTAATAGCATATGTTTCGGTATGTAAATATTCTTCATTGTCTTCGCGTGAACAGATAATCTAATATAGTTATGATGTACTCAGATCAGTTGTTATTTAGTCGTTAAGGTCATGAGCATAATCGTGAACGTGACCCATATCGTGCTACTTTTAGGGGCAGGTGAACACATTCCTCCAGTAATGAAACGTCAGAGTTGGACGACTTCTCCAGTCTTGGGACGAGGGGTAGACATGACTCCAGTGACAGCTCTAGTAATGGACAATGGGGGTGTCATCCTCATCACAGAGATTGACATCTGCTCATTTCCAGGACCAGGGAAATGAGTATGTGGTCTACAAAAGGGGATTCATCTGCTAAAGTAGGGGAAAAGCTCCAAGCTCAAGGCTCTCTGGATGGGGGCCGTTTCTGTTTATAGTAATCAAAAGTCAGAAACAGCAAAAGCTCAAAATTTTTTCCGCCATGATCGCCTGGATACTTTATTAGCAGATCAACTACAGTGTGGTTACGTCGCCGCAGATTCATGGCGTTAATTGTTAGTTCAGCCAGGAAATCTTCTTATGCCTTTGGCTAAATCCTGTTAGAGTGCCAGCGCTATCTTGTATGGTTTCCTAAAAACGTCTCTGTTTCACGATCATAACCTTGGAGAGATAAGCATGATTAAATACGTGTCATATCAGGGTTAACCTACCAGACAGGAGCAGACCAGGATTTACTCAGTTCATCAGGTTGAATCACAATCCGTCATTGCTATGAACCCTAAGGATCTTGTCGAAGAAATGGAACAAACGAAGGATAAAAGCAGGTTAATATATCATCTCATCAGAGCTCCTGTTTCAAGACTATGGAACCCAATGAGAGAAGCTTTTTTGTCTAATTACATATATAGTTATAACCCTCCAGGAAAAGGGGAAAATAATAGCCCTTAGAAATCATATCAGTCCAACAATATAGTTTATAAGGCTAGAATAATAGAAATATGGGTACAAGTCTAGAGGATGATGGACTATTTCATCAATTTGTAGTGAAGATTCCATCCCTGAAACTGACACCCATAAATTCATTTACCATTTCTATGAGAGCTATTTGATTGTCGAGGTTCTTCAACATTATCGGATGGATTTAGGAATAAAAAAGACTCCAGGTACATTTAATTGCGCCTCATCACTAGCTCATTTGGGCTTATGGGTGCTCACTTCCTAAGCACCCTGAAGTCTTTCAACTCTGAAGCGTTCCAAGCTCTCGTCATTCACTGCTCCGTCCAAATTGTTCATCCTCCGCAAGGTAGCAAGTCTAGTGATTCTATCTTGATGCCACGACGTTATACGTGTACGTCCGGGTCTTGGTCTGTCATCAACTCTTCCCATAGGCAAGAGCCCACCCTCTATCAAGATGGAATAGCCATGGCAAATTTGTAAAAGCAATCATCGATTGCAAATGCTTCGGCTATCACGCGTCTTGGTGATAGTCAGAGAATCGACACCAGTTTGAATGGAAGAGAACGCATGCATTTTAGGCGCACCTGATGTGGATAGATGTTTTGTCACCGATGACGGATTTTTAACATTTGTTTGGGGATTAAATAAGGTACCCTTATATTCCTCTTACTTTTTATACGACGATGTACATTCAATACAAATATTTTACAATATCAGAAGTTGTGCTTCTTTATTCTGTCAGTGTATATATTATTACCGGTTGGCTTGTAATAATAATAAGAAGAAACTGTTAAAACAATACGTTCCTCGCTTCCTTTGGAAACTTAATCACAAAATGTAATAATAATAATAATAATAAGATGTTTTATCTAGTTAGCTCATTTGTGGATTTTAAGTATTCCGACGAAACCAAACGGAAAGCATTGACTACTGTACTCAACTTAATCTACTAGTTCTTCAATAAAGAGCTAAGAATATCACAGTTTTCAGCTAATTGGATTGAAAAATCTCTCCTGTACACTGATGTACTAAATATATTATATAATTGTCTGTAGCAAATGTATTCCTTACTTGAATATCGCTTGCAAAGAAAGAGGTATTCAACAGTCTTCGGGATCCTGTTACAACATAAGCTCGACGTAACGTTTGTTATCATGATTGACATTAGAAAATGTACTAGAATAGCATCTGGCAATGCTTACAAAGACGGTATTCGATCTTATGAGGATGGTGCCTGTCCTTCTAGGACTTTTTGGAGGTAGTTGTCACCAGTGATGGGTTATCAGTGATGCACTGATTGCAATAAGACGTATGGCAAAGTCTATGAGCTGTCTATAACAATGAATCTAATTTATCAACTTGAGAAACTTGTCAGAAAGAGAAGTGTCTGGTAAATTTAAGTCAATTTGGTAGAAAACGATTGATGCCTTTCAACACAGATTGTCTTATTATCTACCCGTGTATGAGATCAAAGCAGAAGATGACGCAAGGAAACTACGATGTGATATCTTGATATCTGAAAGGAGACTGACTCCGAAACAAGCATTTCAGCCCAAAAGGAATCAAAGAAAGCAATCGTTGTGAATCAAAAGGTATTTTGACACTGACGCAGAAACAATTTCAGACGATGATGGTTGTGTTGTCTACAGTCATCCGAAGGACGTGGGTGATGATACTGGAGTAAAGGAAAACGTTGCCTCAAACCTTTCACACAACTACCGTAATGTTCAGGAAGATGACTTCCAAAATAGCCAGGGGTTGTATTAACAGGTGCAAAATTATGAGTTCGGGTGATACTTTTTTTTTATATTAACGGTTACATTTGATAATTGGTGTCGTGTAACCTAATGGACAAAGGGAGGTATGCACCTTAACAAGCACCCGGATAATAACATCCTTTTACGTCGTTCCAAATACACTGCTTGTAACAGAAACCGCCTCATGGGTTTCTGGCCACCCTATATAATTTCCTAGAATTAGAATCTGTTAGGAAAGTACACCGCGGAAAAGATTATCTTAAGTATACTTACACGAATCCTTGTGCGCATTCCACTCGTACAGTGCCCAGCTGGTTTAGTGTAGGGGTAATGCCAACTGATCCCAAACAACATACTGGACCCTGGTTATTTACTGGATAAAATAAAGATACATTTAGGGGAAAGTATGATTGCTTTTATCCATTTATTGGATTTTAAGTTTGAAGTCTGTAAAGTTTTGAGAATGGCACCTTCATTAACTGTTAGCGTCGTTATCGACATTCTGACATCATACACAAATTCCCGGAGAGAAGTGAATCAGTATGTGTCATAAAGATTATCATCATCGTAAGCTCTTCTCCAAATTTCGTGCCAGATTCAACTATCACTGTCGTGATCGTGCGATGGACTTTTCAAGATGGCGGACCAACGTAACACCGGAAGGTAAGCTCTGCTTTCAAACGGTAATATCCATAATTTATATACTCACTATGATCATGACACATATTGTATCTGATTCGTATCTTCCTGGATGATGATAGACTTAAAATGTAGTGCAATCTGCGTGTAAACCTCGTCAACATGCCGATCTTTTTTGGGTGGTCGGGTGGCGCAGTGTTAACGCACTCGCCTTTCACCTAGCCGACCGGGGTTCGATTCCCGGAACGGACGTGAAAAGGTAAGGGGTGATTAATATAAGTTGACATAACTTGTTTCGCAATTGTTGTAAAATAAATAAAGTTTATATTTAACATGCCGATCTGTTGGATTCAAGCAAATGTGAGCTCAACTATCAGCCCTAGTTAAACAATTGAATAAGTTCAGTCAGAGTTTTAATGTTAAATTGAAGATTAGATAAGCCTTTTATCGAATGACGATGTTCTGTGACGGAATCGGAAGCGTGATTGGATAAAAAAACACAGGAAATTTTGACCATGCAAAGGCTCGGTCACTGTGCATTTTGTGATCATGTTACTAAGGACCGAGCCATCGCCAAGTTTGTCCGTCAGTTGACAATTTCATGAACAAAATCTATATTATGGAAATAGGTCCTTGAATATCGAATCAATTGTGACTTGTGAATGACAGGGATATTGCTATATCCAGAAATCGAAAATTCACAATAAGGAAATTGCAATTATCGCGTTTATCCTGGTTTCGTTTTTGGAAAACATTAAGATAACCAACTGATGTAAAGAGTCAGTCGTGTCTCTGGACTCCAATTCTGGAGGTATATACCATGCACATGATTAATATCTTTTTTGTAATTCGAAGACAAGACGTAAAAATTAAACGACTTTTCAAGGTCTTTGAAATCTGCTCAGCCTCGTATGAAAACAAAAACAAGTCAGCCAACGGAGGGACACAGTTCTGTTCTTTCCCAAAGCTCAACGAAGATGCTGTTGACTAGGAATTCGATCATTTTTTTTAATTCCGTTCTAGGTATATGATTTGAACGTACTTTTGACGAAATATTTTAGTTCATCACAATGTATCTTTATCGCCGTTTACCTTCCTTGGAGAAGAAGGCTCTCTTAACAAAAGATCGAAGACGTTACTAGAGTTTAGAATGGGGTAAGCTGATATGCAAGGCGGGAAAATCGAATGTTCTTATAGAAGAAATGTGTTTGAAGGAAGGTATTGGAATTGGTCAAAAGCTCTTTGTGGTTCTTCAAAATCCACATGCTATTATATCTACTTCTTGAGTAAACAGTTCCACAATAAGATTTTAATCCAGATTTTATGGTAGTTACATTGGTTGTTAGTAGTAGTTTGTATCTTTATAATTAATATCCGATCTAAATTATTGTAATACCGGAGCATTATTAGTTAGCATTTCGTCTTTTGAAAGATTGCATAATGTCTAGGAGAGTTTCTTCGTTATCAAGCAAGCTCCTTTTTTGTTTACAGGAAATGTAACAATGTTTGCAGACAAGGATAAAGTTTTCAGACGTCTTATCAGCAGGCACAATGACATTTAATATCTGCATCGAGGAAAACTGACCTGTGTTTTTTATTTCAATTTCAAGCTGCAAATTCTACGAATGATGGAACGGATGAATTCAGAAAGTGAATGCAAGGCAGCAAGTTCTCTTTTCACATATTTCTTTGCGTTGTTTTCAACAGAAACCATAAGTGTCTTGGTATTCATAATCCAATCAACGCAGGGAGTTTCGTGATATTTAGAAACCTTCATGTCAATCTCTGGCAGCTTTACATTAATTAAGCAATTAAGCAGAATATTGATTGTTACAAATGTTTTTGCGATGAAAAGTGAGGCGGTTTCCCACGTTTTAAATTTAACACAAAGTCAGTAAAAAGCGTTTAAATCCAAATCTTAGCCGCCCTTTATGATATGATACAAACAGAACTGCAAGTACAATTCTCACGCCATGAAACAATTAAGAATATCCCTACTGTGGTCACTGTCATAAGTGATGTTCCAAAATTATTATCTAAATTAAAATATTAAAATTAAAAAGTTAACGTATACATTTAACAGCTATAAACCATTTCTTTTGTGAAAGATGACTTTGCAGCACTTACCTGTGTCGAAAGCTCCTATGAGTACTAGGAGATACAAGGCCAACATCATCGGCGATGAATTTCACTGTAAACAAAGTAAAGGATGTTATGTTGATTTTTATTATATATATGATGATATGATATTACACCGAGAACTTTCAAAGTTAATGATACGTGATCAAAGATGTATTATTTTGAATTTAAAAAAGAAAGAAAAACCAGCATACCAGCAACCAAACAAAATACCATATACTCAAATTTGGAAAAAACCTAGGGCAAAATATATGAACAAAAGAAATATTTAAATGGAAACTCCAGGAAAAAAGGTATAAGAACAAGACCAGGGCCCGTATTCATGAACCCGTTCTCATGCTCAAGCATGAATTTTGTGTTCAAGCCATATGCCTTGTTTAAGTTGACAAATAATAAATAAAGCTAATTTTGCCAAAGATTTAAAAAAACAAATTTGAACGGACTTCAAGTCAAAGCTATATTCAATGTTTATATTTGACATTAAAATCTATGCTAGAGCACAAAATCTATGCTTGAGCATGAGAATGGTTTCATGAATACGGGCCCAGGTGTTCCAGACGAATTAACGTCTACTGCTTTATCAACGACAACAGGTTTGTAAACTTTGTTTGTGAGCTAAGACATAAACCGGTAATTAATGATGTAGTGTTAAAAATTGCTGGGAACGTATAGTGTTAATGATGTACTGTGTTCTAGTCAGTTGACATTACACCATTAGTGCTCTGTAAATATATAGACTGAATAAAGTACTGTTCTATACTCAGTTGAACGTACTCTGTATATATTGATGTACTTTTCTATAATCAGACGACAGTACATTTTAACCACTTATATTTAATGATATACCGTTCTATAGTCAGTTGACAGTACACGGTAAAAATATAGATTTAATGATGGACTGTTCTATAAACAGCTAAACGTACACTGTAAACATATATAGTCAATGCTCTACAATTTTAATGGTATATTGTTCTATTGTCAGCTGGCAGTGCACTGTTAACATTTATAGTTCATTTGTACCGGTACATAAAGTCATCTTATAACTCACTTTGAACATGGTGCTACTTAGTCAGCTGACAGTACTAAGGAAACATATATTTTTAGAAAAATTATTTCCTCTCTTAGAATAAATCGAAGGTGATAAAATTTAAGTGACTTACCTTATTCAGCGAGGTATCTCCGAAATCTAATATAAAACTGCTAAAGGAATTGTGGTCATATATATATATATAACCGAAAACGTTAGCGATATATGTATATGACCACAATGCCTTTGGCAGTTATTTTATTCCGGCTCGAAACTGACTGGTTTAAAGTCAGATGAGTTAGTGATCAGTTAATATGATACCCGTAAATAACCTAACAGAAATGTGCATATTGGAGCAGATTTCCTATACAACAAGGGATTATTGTGACGTGATTTTGCTGGTTTTTTATAAGCCCTTTTTGTTATTATGAAATCCTTCAATTTGTTGTAAGGTTTCTGCATCTTACTAGTAAAGAAAATGTGTATTATAAAACAAATTAATCGTAGAATGATTTTTTAAATAATGATGCAATGAGGAAAATCCAGTAGATTAATAGTAATGTTATTACTGTCTTGTTATTCTATTAAAATTTCATTCCAACTTATATGAATTCAACAATACATTACTCTTCATGTATGAATCTACATATTTATCAGCTGTAGATGAACCAAACAAGTATCTTGGTTAGGCCACAGAAGACGCGTACTCTTCCGTAACACCTGGTCTTATTCTCCCTCTACTTTTTCAAGAGAGTTTATTTTTCGAGATAGCAGCTCACAGTTTCTTTCAAGCATGTAGCTTACAGGGCCTTTCAATACGTATTTACATGCGCATACATTTGATGCTTAATAATGAATTAAAGGGTTCTGCAATGATTCCAGAAGTCGACAGTATGACGATCAATAGAAAATGTAGAAAATATACAATATTATAAAACCTGAGGAGACAGTAACAGTCACTGTACAATTGGTAGAACTGCTAGGTGTAGAAAAAATGAAAAAAGGCTAAATTTGGTATATTCATGATGATGTTGGATATTAGGGCTTTACATAGAAAAAAATGAGAAAAAATGTACCTGGTTTGAGATTATAATTTTGGCCATTAAACGAAAGTGTACCTATACAGAAAAAGCTAGCTTTACTGGCAGCGGAATTATGATGTCTGGACACGACGTAATGTTGTGAAAAAAATCCGAGTTACATTTTCCCGGAACAGAAATAATTTTGCTGTCATGTATGTAGTGATAAAATTTTGATATATGTCATAGTTGAAATTTCTGTCTTATTTGGTGAAATTTTCGGTCAAAAATCAAAATGTTTTGCTATTTTCAGTGATTTTTAATGTGATGAACATAGTTTTCAACAGTGTTTAATACAGAGTAAACATGTATTTAGACAATGCTCTGTTGTGTATTGAAATTGCATGTGGTGTGTAGTTTATGAAAATATATACTTTTATATGTCTGCTTTGCACGGTTAATCTACTGTGTGTAATTATCTTGAATGTGTCCCTTATTTTTCAGAAAATGACCATTTAACTGTTTCCTGCTACTTATGCGCGAAATTTTAAAACTCGGGAACTAATCAAAACCGGGACAGTAGTTTTCCTGAAGACGCGATTGTACCGCGCATCAGCAAAAATGTTAACAAAACAAAACCAAACAAAGGAACCTCGAGACCTCCTTCTCTGTGCATGTCATCTTGGATTAGCTTTTAAAGAATGAACGTAATAAGACAATTTGATGCTTCTGTGCTTTATTTCTTCTTTTTTACAAAACATGTCAAACTTATCTTTCTTAGTCGTTTGTGTTTTTCTTTTCTGAAGAAAAACGAGGATACCAACATGCAAAGATAATCATAATACTTAAAACTCAAAATCAATCAAACTTGAGCAAAAATATGACCGAAAGAAAGATTTACACGGATATTCCTGAAAAAGAAAATAAGAAATAAAACCTAGAAACGGAAGATTAAGCGTTTTCTGTTATAAATACAACATGCTAGTTAGCATACAGCATTGTGGTAAGCTGTACATGTTATATTAAAACAAGATATCAGCAATAGATCTGAAAGGGAAATTAAACGACATTGCAAGGTCTTTGTTGCCAGTTTTGATAAGCTCTTCGATAAAGTCAACCTCGTATGAGAAAAGTCAGTCAACAGAAGTTCAGAGTCAGTTGACATAGGTATGTCAATAGCACCAAACTCGACTTAGATGTTGTCAACCAGAAACTGCATACGCTAAGTATACATGATGCATTTAACCACCATATATTTGTATCACCGTTCACCTTTTCTGGAAAAGAAAGCACTCATTACAAGAGAACGAAAGCTTTATTTCAGTTTTGGGGTATGGTGATGTATAGAGTGAACCAATCAAATATTCTCAAGGAAGAATGGTTTTTAAGAAGAAGATGTTGGAGATTAGTTAAAGGCTTTTTGAAGTACTTGAAAATCTACATACTATTAATTCCACGTCTTGTATCATAAGAAGACTCTAACGCAGAAAATCCAATCATCAATAAAATGCATGCAAAATTACCTTTGCTGATCAGAAGATTGGCACTCAAATATATGTATATGTATATGTATCTATATATATATATATGATAAATCGTTATCGTGATGCACTCTTGTGATCATACATTTCTGTTTGCACGCAATGAGACCCGCCTGGAATAAACTGCGGTTATATAAATTTTTGTGGTCGTAACAAGAGATGAATTGGGGAAATGTCAGCTCTAGAGCCGGATCGAAGATTATTGTTAGTATCAGTAAAATGCTAAACGATAGTTACAATGGTGTGACTAATAGGATAATAATTTTATTATCTTCAATAAACAGCAATTTTAATTTCGCGGTCATCAATGATAGTGTACAATCAGATACCCAGCGGATATTTCTACAGTGATTTATAGAGTAAGAATATTTTCGATACACGCCGTTTTCCACAAGGTGATATATGACTAGAAATCATATGTAAATATATGAAAAAAATCTAACTTAAAAACTTCCATGTCCAGTCTTGACTACCGACCAGTACATTATTATCTAAACATGTTTACAGTGTACTATCAGCCGACATCGATAAATTGAATGATTAACTTTGGTAAATTACAATTGTTAAAAGTATATGTTTTTTTAAGAACTCCAAAAAGTTTTTGACCAATCTTTGACACCTTCTGCTAAAGAAAATATTTCTTCTATAAGAAGATTTGATTTTTCCATCATGTTACGTCACCGTTCTATAGAAATGTTTCCTTTGCAAGAAAAATGAACGGCGGTACAAATATATGATTGTGAAGAGTATTTCGTGAAAAATACGTCGAATTTATAAATGGAATAAATGGAGGACGATATCATAGTTGACATCTGCGTCGAGTTTGGTGGTAAGGTTATCGGCACTTCTCGACTTAATGTGCCCCTCTGTTGGATAGCTTGTGAAAATAGGTCACAAAGACCTTGCAATCGGAAAACAAGGGCACGAAATGCTCTTCGACATCAGACGCTTATCTCGATCTTTTCCTAAAATGAATCCAGCTTTCCACCAATCTGTAATGATTTAATTTTCCCTATTGTGAATGTTTCCTTTCTAGATAGCAACAGATCTGCATCCCCAATCTATGGTGTTTACATGTCGCAGTTGATCTGATAGTCAGAGGCCTGTTAGTTGATGAAAATTATGGGGAAGTTTTACAGTCGTAATATTGATTATTGGGGAACATTCTATTTCTTTGTGCGATATGAAGCTGGACGTGTTTGATGTTTGTTTGTTTGCCGGTTGGTTCCTTTGTTGTATGCGCTTAAAGGAATTACAATCATATAGTAGGAGGTCCAAAACATTTAATGAAAATGTGTTCGTCATAATTGGTAAGGTAAAAACTGACCTCAAATAGACCCCGTAAAAAGTTGTACATGTACATTGCGGAACAGCAGTTTAAAAAGTGTACGAGATTCCGAGTGAAATGGACCCGAGGTTGTGAGTTAAGAATTCAAATAATTCTCATAGGAGTTTTGAGCATATG